AAAAAAAATCGAACTTATTCTAAGTGTGAAAATATTCGCACTTATATTTACACTAGAATGTAAAACAAAACGATGATTCAAGAATTTCCAAGGTCTTGGTACAAGAAGTCAAGAAATTATAAGATGCTCAAGATCTTGACTTCTTGAAATTTCTTGAATTCTTATATTTTCTTACCAAGATCTTACTGAAAAAATTCAAGAAGTCAAGATCTTGGTTACAAGAAGTTTCACTAGGGTACGCACTTAATTGAACTTAGTTGATTAAGAAATGTTATTTTTGGTGAGGGGGACTTCCAAAAGTTTATAAAAAATTTTCAAACTAATATTATTTTCCTATGGAAACTTTTTGCGTAATTTTCTTTCAAAATTTTACCTAAACTTTTAGAAGTACTTCCTCACCAAAAATAGAAAATCTTCTGGGTTATCGAATGTGCTGGATACGAAAAAGCACTTTTCAGCAATTCAAAACCAACTTTATTTTTTTTGTTCCGGTGATATGTTTGTTGAATTCATCCTTTGTAAGGCTATTAGTTAAAAAGAAACTGACCTTAGAAAACGTTTGGAAAATAGATCGTTACAGCCCATAATAATAAAATCCTTTACATAAACTAATAATTAGGCGAGCCGCACTGGTATATTCGGCACTTTTTTCATATTTTTTGATTATTACGACAGATTTGCCTGAAATAAGCTCTTTTAAATGATTAGCCAAAGTATCATAATATAAAAATCTCAAAACGGGTTCCCGAAAGATAAACACACAGCTCAATAACGCTACGAAAATTAGTCAAGTCTACTGACTGTGAGGCAGGGCCAGGAAGAAAAAGCCAGCTCACTGATATCATAATCGATTAAAGAATCAAGAAAGTAATAATCGGTCGTTCTTCCGCTCAGAACAATTGAGGTCTCAATAATTCGTGATGGGGCGCCAAATGTTGATTTGATTCTTGTTTCATTTGTTTTACTGTGACTCAGAACAAGCAAAACAGTACAGGTCACGAATCCCTCGATTTTTCACAGAGTATAGGTCTCAGGTTCGAACCCTGAACGGACCGCTATTTTTTTTTCAAATTTTTTGACGTAGGGCTGACAGTGGTAAACTTATCAAACAAATTGTATCAATTTCCAGAAAAAAAAATTTGTTTTAAGTAGGAATTTCATGAGAAACACATAAGAATTGCATAAGAGTTCTAATCACTTTCTTATGAAACTCTTACGGCTTTCTTATAAGGCTCTTATACTTTCCTTCTAGAATTATCGGGACTCACCTGCAGAATCTTATTTAAGAAACCGATAAGAATGATGAGACTTTTGTGCGGGTCTTGTTTGATACTTATAGCTTTCCAGTAAGATTCTTGACTGATCCTTATATATGAATCGTCGACTAGGGTGAGAAGAACTTAATAAAGCATCCGTATGATCATGTATGCATTAGCGTGCCTTAATTTATGAATCATATACATCCAGTTTATGTGGAAGAATGCATCCGAGACCAGGCATTCCCGTATCATATTAAGTCACTATGGATGCATAAAGTCAGAATCTAGTCGTATTCTAAAGGTATATTTCTTTTACATGAAAATGTTTCACCAGCGAAGAAATATAAGACTATACATTGAAGGATTCATGGATACATTTTTTTTAAACAAATGTCCTTTTTCCACCGTCTGAGTATTGAAATGATATTTTTGATCTTTTCTTTTAAAACTGCTTTATGTTGCCTAAGAATCGTTCAAAAAATCTTTCTGAGAAGTCAGTTAAACTTTCAAGATGGTTTGAATCAAATAACTTTTAGAAATCTAGTCATGAAGAAATAATTTTCTCTATAGAACTTTTGATATGTATGTTTTTGTTTCAGGTAAATGAGAGAAATATTGAAGGCATTGCAAGTTATATTAGTAAATGGAAAACAGATGTTCAAACATTAACTCCAAATCCAGGCATGTAGAAGTTCCCGAAAACTACTTTCGGTTGCATTGTAAGAATATGCTTAATTACTTTAGACAAATATTCGAAAGGAAGAATAAAGCACCCGACAGTGGCAATTCTGGATGGAAGAAAATCATACAATTTAGGTAAAGAACTAATTTTCTAGCAGTATTTTACTTTTTTTTGAAGAAATTTGTTCTAATCATCTATAATATCATATCATATGCACTTCTCTACTATTCACCACTTTAAATTCATGATAGTGTGTATGTTGGTAACTGCGTGAATTATCTAAAAATTGTGACTAATGATGCAAAATAATGCAACTGACAACACCTTTACTACAAAATAGTTTCTACTAAAAAGAAGTCACGTTTGTAATTGAGTCATGAATACCGTCTATTTTTTTCTATTCTCTTGCGCCTTTTACGTTCACATTATTTCTGTTACCTTTTTATTTATTTACTTCATTTTATTTGATTTGGTTTTTTCCATGTTAAATCAAAAATAATGACAAATAATTTTTTTTCATGAAATCAGAAACAACAAATATTTAACACACACACTGAAAGTGTCAGGACACAGTTATAAATTTTGATACATGATTTTACCTTGAGACATTTTATCTATTTTAATATAGTCTATAGAGTGATAAAATGAAAAAATAGAAAGAAAAGAAGCGCTTACGGATGGTTATGTATAGACACCCATAAACAAAAACAAAAAGGAACAGTGTCTATACAACGACAAAAAAATGTGTACCTGACTTTTAGTGAAAATCATGAAAGTCATGATTTGTCTAATCGTCATATCAGTTCTACGTTGTATATAGAAGAGAGTGGCAGTAAACTTTATTTGAATTATATTTGAAGTAACCTTCCCAAACCAGTACGACTGACACAAAACATATGTCAAATGACGTGATGGTACTTCATAATGTTGACTATGTTGATAGATCGAAAGTCTTTGAAATTTCGAAAATGCTCAACGTATACCATTATGTCATATGAAGAATGATGTGTGAGACTAAAAAGATATTATCTCCTTACTCTTACAATGTCTTTATGAGCACAACAGTCAACAAAATTGTACTCATAAACAACTGATTTTTTGAGAGGCAAAGATAAATATGTTTGCGAAATATTAGGTGTTAGAAGGCTTTGTGGAGAAATTTTTGTACACTCTAAATGTGCTGATTGTTGTGCTAATAGAATTTAATTAACTCAGGTCATCGAGTGCGTTATAACCCTTCATTTTGTGATATTTAAGAGATCGGTAAAATGAATCCAAAAACTGGTTATGAGTTCAAAATAATTATTTCTTACATTATGCACGTTTTGAATTCTTTTTACAGTTATTATTTGTATGGAACAAGAATGTATTGTGATGTGTATTGCGCATATGACTAAAGTTTTAATTTTTCGGGGAAAAACCAAAGTTATATACTTGAATTTTTTAACGAAGAATAAAAGATCTGATTAGCAATTTTCTTAGAAAAGGTATTGTTTAACAAAATCAGGTATTTCTTTTCAGGTATTCGACATTCTGCTTTATTTCTAAATAAAAGGTGTGATGATTTCTTTTTTTTCGTTCTTTATTTTCTAACGGGAGATATACAACAGTTTTTCTCCTTTTCTAGTACTTAAGTCTACACATGTATTATATTAACCACTTTTACATATTCGAAAAAACGTATTATATAAGATAGATACTCCTCTCTCTCTCTCTCTCTCTCTCTCTCTCTCTCTCTCTCTCGTTCTCTCTGCTTCTATTTTTTTGATCGAGAAACCGGTTTGATCAGATCCCTATATAAGCAAGGTTACATTTTCAACCATAAAGCATATTCTATTAAATCAATACAAGATGCCAGTCATAAAACAACCATTTTTGAGTCAATGTTCAGTCGACGAACGTGAGTTATTACTTGACGATTTCGATCAGTTCACTTGTCAACAACCACATCTTTTAAAAGAGACAACAATCGAAATCGATAATATTCCTCAATTTTTAAACAACACTGCAATACAACATATCTATCCATTTAATGGGACAGATTCATTTGGAGAACTTCTTCTGGATGATCAACAGTCAAACGATCGCTCAATAGATATGACAAAGTTCTCAGTATCATCGTCACTACCAGTTATTACTCCTCAATTAGATACGCCAGAATTCTTAATTAATAATCCATTTGCCAATAGTACATCTAATGATAACAATCCTGTTGATTATCGACAACAACCGAAGGTACGACCGAACTTATCAAGGAGAACGTATTCGGTTTCTACTGCTAGACTTTCAAATGACTTATCAGAGGAAATCAATTCTTTCAGTTCCCTTCCAACTTCTCCGAATCATTCAGAAGATTTTTCACAGTATTTAACTCCACCACAAACACCATCACAATTGGCTGATATTACTGAATGGTTGGTGGTTGACGAAGTAACAAGACGTAAACGACGTCCATATTTATATGAATTTCTCAAACAATTATTGGATAATCCAAAATATCATCACATGGCAACTTACATCAATCGTCAGGAAGGCATATTTAAACTTCACTTACCAAATGATACTGCTGCTCTGTGGAAATATATTAAAGGAAGAAATAGTGGAAATAAAATGACCTATGATAAATTGGCAAGAGCAATCCGTCATTACTATCCACAAGGGGTAATCAAGTCGAATCCAGGACGATTCACATTTCGGTTTGGACCAAAATCGGGTTTCGGTGAATTCTGGAGACCGTGAATATATTGAGTTTCAGTTTCTTGTTTAAACCTGGTATTTATTCACAATAGTATATCTGTAGTTTTGGGACTAATTCTAACTGTTTTTATTCTGCAATCGCATTCTTATATCCACTAAAACAACAAAATTTTATTGTCTATTTCTATTTTTTTATTGATGATCGCTGGTCGTTCATGATTCCACGGGAAATTTAGCACTAGTTACTTCTTTTTATTTTTAAAGTGTAAAACATTCTTAAGCCAGACATTTGTTTACTATATGAAATATTTTGCTACAACTGTAAAGCACAGTTTTTAATAAATAACTAGATACATTCACGGGGTCTCACAGTTAAAAAGATGTGTCACAGAGATATTAGAAGGTATGGAAGAAATACAGTCACTTCAGTGTGAACAGTTGTCAAGCACTCCCATGGAGTATGACAATATGATTTTTGAAAAAATTTTAATCTCTAGTGCAGGTATATAGTAAGTGATAAACTGATGTGCTTGCATCGGTTGCATGATGCAACACTAAATCAATCTAGCTAAATGAGTAAAAAAAATCTACTATCCATTTTAAAATACAACGGTCCTCTTTTATTCTGTCTCGCAGCTATGGCTTTAGCTACAGCTGGACGCTAGGTTAAACAAAATAGAGATATAAGTATTGTTTTTCTAACAATTTGTTAATACATTTTAGCAATCGTCCTGGGAAATAAACGTTCTCCAACTCAAATAGCGCAGTCTGTTGACGATTTAAACGATCATACTATTTCTGCTGAATTAATAGAACATATTATTCAATATGTTGCCGATCAACAAGAAGTATATATTTTATGACAATCTTTGATAATAAACTTGAAATCGTCTATGTAGATTGAAGCATTTCGAAATTTATCGTTTCCAAATGAACAATTATCCCGACCTGATCAATTGATGTATGAAGTGACAAACATCTCGTCTTATATGGAGAAGCTTAATACACTGAGTTTCAAACTGTTATTCCCAGGAAAAACTAAACTATTAAACGCCCAAATTCAACAAGCGAAAGAAGCATGTACATATTTAAGACAATCGGAACATTTAAAAAAGTTATTGGAGGTATGGATCAACATGTAAAATACTTTAAAAATTCACTGTGAGCATGATAAATGGGACTACTGTTCATTTGAAAATAGAGTATGTGCGATTGCATGTTGAATAACTCGAGAACAGAATCGGCTATCAAGCTGTGGTCTTCGCCATCAAAAAGAGACGACCGCAGAACGTTGATGTATACCAGAATAAAAAGTTTGAAAAAGAGTTTTGAAAGGATTTTTAACTTCACATAATGGAATCGATAGTTCAACCATTTCTCTACAATTCTATGCAAGTCCAAACTTCCCAGCACCTTCCATTCTGAAGCTATACTGGATTTCTTGAAAGCTCCAGAAAGGTGGCTTTTTAGTCTAGGGAATGTTTTCAAACAAGTCAGAACATAGTTTATTGATCAAGCTGAATCCCGTGAAAATGATTGTGTTTCTGAAAAAGCTGAAAAACCTAGTGAAAACCTATGTTAGGTGAAATAATCCATATTATCACATAAAATTAAAAATCTCATAACTTACGAGGGGACTTCCCGAGATGCTTCCTTCCGATTTCAATGACTTGTACATGGATCGATAGATCTCAGTGAGGTAGTAAATACATGTACAAGTAAGTCATTGGAATCGAAAGGTGGTATCTCGGGAGATTCCCTCGTTAGTCAAAATCGACTCTACTTCAGAGTACTAAGATGTGTTGTATTTTATCTGCACTATATTCTCTCATTCAATAAAAATTTTAAAAATCAATAGAAAGCACTTTGGTTTCTGAAAGGTTTCTAAAGCACTTTGAAAGTAAGAGAATGTTTTTCTACGAATCTTAAGTACAGAATCATATTGGAGGGATAAAATAGAGTACATCTTGGTACTCTGAAGTAGTTTAAGCCGATTTGACTAAGTTATGAATTTTTATGTTGACAGACATTATTCGTTTTTGCTGGGAGTTTTGTTTTTTTATTTTCTTTCTGTCGTCCCCATTTTTTTGGCAAAATGTGCACCTCGTGATCTAGCGAAGTATGGAAGCTAGAAAAGTTCTGAAAAATGTAGGATAGTCTTCCGACATTGCAGATTGATCAATGCACATTCTTTTTTCAAAACTAAGTTTAGATTCGACGCCATAAGCTACACAAGCAGAAGTAAAATGTTTTTAGGACTTTTTTTCGAATTTTTCGTATATTCAGTTGTCTGGCGTCATCTGCTCTTAACATGCAAAACAATTCTCGCTCTCTTTTTCAAATTTCTTTTTCATTTCATGTTTTCTTGAATCTATCTCTTAAAGCAACTAAATCACAACGGACGTGATGTGGTAAACTCACTATTTACGCTTCTGGCAGATTCAGATAGAATACAGTCTGTCGACATCGCAACTGGTGCGCAGCGCAGTTGGTCTCTAGTTCATATATTCAGTTGTCCGACGCAATTTTTGGAGAGAAATTTAATGTAAAAGAAAATGTGATTTTGTTAAAAAGAGAATTTTAATACAAAAGAAAGAGAAGATCTCGTGTTGAAGGTTTGTTAATTTAAAATCGAAGAGATATCAATTCATTGATAATTGAAAGCGTTTAGAATAATAACAATAATAAGATAGTAGAAACAACAATTCCTATTCCAGAAATGTATATATTCTGCTTTTAGGTACCTGTAACTAACTACTCTCAAAAAAAAAGGTGCCGTACAGAACTTAAAAAGGGTTTCGAGAATTGAGACCATTTCTAAATCTTTTTTTAGGTTCTGTACGAACAAGGGTTCGTACGATACCTTTTTCCCCTGCTTTCAGAAAAGGTTCCGTAGAGGTTTTTTCCGTATGGATTCTACGTATGGATTTTATATAGTTTATTTTTGTATATTTGTCTAGAATTTATTTATTTCTATTATCTAGCAACAAAAAAGCGCCCTTTCATATGAGAGTAGCACAGAGAGGTATAGTACGAAACGTTTTCTACTACTATACCTTCAAGAGGTGTGTTATGAAACCTGTTCGAATATGAAACCTTGAAGAGTATGATATAAAATCTTGCAGGGTACCATACGGAATCTCTTCGATTACTAAACCTTAATGAGGTTTCGCAGATACGTACCATCCTTGATTGGTAAGGGAAACTTCCACGGAACCTCATAAGTTTCATACTATACCTTTTTTTTCAGAGTAGAAGAAAGAAAAAGTCTCTCTACACTGTAAGGTTGGAAATTATTTATGGAAAATGCTCGGCGAATTTCATCGAGTGCCTATAGGAATTCCTCGAGGATTTTCCAGTTTATAGAAAATCAAATTTCCAACAATCTAGAAAATCATGGTTGAATATCTATACATAATTCGCAAGAAAATAGAAATTCCTTTTTGATTTTCTATAAACTGGAAATTTCTTGGCGGATCTGTGTCGAGTGGGGGCGCACCAGGTTGTGTGGGATTGACCCCGATCATGCTTTTGAGAAATTTCTGGTGAACGCCTCCGATTTGAGACCTTCCTACCGAAACTTCACGCCACCACTATCTCTGCTTAAATCAAAATTCTTGCTGGCATAGGCAGAATTGTGATTTAAAGTGGAAATTGTCAAAGCTGATTTAAGCGTAATATGAGTGTCTTTACGTGACGCTCTTGTACCTACACCGATTGCAAACAAAAAGATGAATAAGTACCTATTACACCATAAGTACCGATTCCTTACCTTTACAGAAAATCAAATTTATGGAAATTCAAGTCGATTTTCTAGAAAGTAGAAAATCAACATTTTCTAGAAAGCTGAAAATTCAACAAGGAATTTCTATAAACTAGAAAATCCCCGACGATTTTTCGGTTGATTATCTATAAACTGGAATTAATTCAAGATTACACAAACATTTATTGCACATTGCATTTCTTTATACCTACTTTTACTGTGATCACTAAGCTTCTTGTTTTTCTTGCATCATTGCATTGAAATGCTTCGAACACTTGATACCATCTTCAGTGTACTTTTAACAGTTGGCACACGAAACCGTTGTTCTCAGAGTGCCTGTGGCAATTATATTTGTTTATTACTTTGTTCACTAAGCTATCACCAAATCTCTTGCTATGACTGACAGTAGAGACGTAGTCTGTCGACATCGCAACATGTGCGCAATATAATTACAACCTAGTTTATTTTTTTGTTCAGTCATTTTTTTGGCAAAATTGTCGCCTCGTGTTCTAGGCAACTACGCTGCGTGGAAAAGTCCTGAAAACGGGAAAAATATTCTCTAGTACTGAAGATGGATCAATGTACGAACTTTTTTCAAACAACGGTTCAGATTTGATGCCATAAGTTGCACAAGTGCGAAAAAAGTGTTTTGGACTTAAAAAGTGTTCATATATTTGTTGTCCAGCTCCAGATTCTTTTTACGTGTGCCTAGTACAGCTAATTTTTTATTATATGGAAGCAAAACTCTCTCTCTCTCTCTTGTTTGTTACTTCCGCTCCCCCCTCCCCTGTTTAATCCATGGCTATAGGTTTTCTCGCTGTTAAGCAACTGAAATAACGACTGTAGTTAAATCGGCCTGGTGAAAACCACTACGTTTCTGAGCTTTTTCAGAAACACAATCATTTTCACGGGATTCAGCTTGATCAATAAACTATGTTCTGACTTGTTTGAAAACATTCCCTAGACTAAAAAGCCACCTTTCTGGAGCTTTCAAGAAATCCAGTATAGCTTCAGAATGGAAGGTGCTGGGAAGTTTGGACTTGCATAGAATTGTAGAGAAATGGTTGAACTATCGATTCCATTATGTGAAGTTAAAAATCCTTTCAAAACTCTTTTTCAAACTTTTTATTCTGGTATACATCAACGTTCTGCGGTCGTCTCTTTTTGATGGCGAAGACCACAGCTTGATAGCCGATTCTGTTCTCGAGTTATTCAACATGCAATCGCACATACTCTATTTTCAAATGAACAGTAGCCACCAACACTTAATTAAAACCTGTGTATAAAAAGTGTTTGTTGATGACTGTTCTTCCTATTTCTTCCACAAACTCTTCTGAATACACCAATGTCTTATTTTATTTAGATTACTTTAACCCTTATTAATGAATTAAATAAAGCATCTGCAATACCACCATTGCAAGGTTTATCTCTGACGGATATCGATAAAGTTAGTAAAATTTCATACTTATGATACTCACGGTAAGTAAAGATTTCCTTTAGCTTCATGAATTCAAGTCACCAAAAACACGTATATCAATACTGACAATAGTACGTCAAATCTGTCATGATCAATGTCCGCAAGTGTATGAGTTGAAAAATTCTTATAGTTTAATTTCATTAGCATCGAAAAGTAACGGCTAAAATGATTTCTGACCCATTCGACGCTTCTTGCTAGTTTTTAACGTTTGTTTCAGTTGATCTTAATATCATAAATAACGAAATTAATGAATTACAAACACAAGTGGATGTAAGTATAAAATGGTTTTTCCTAAAATCTATTAACACTTCTGTAATTTCGTTTTTCAAAGTGCATTAACATATGGTTAAAGAAGTTTTACGATGAATCATCTGGGGACATTAACAAGATTAATAATTTAAATACTATGATGGTACATATTTGTATTGCGGAAGAAATCTAACTGTGGCATGACTAATGTATTGTTTTGTTTCTGTAGATATTTCTAACCGACTGTCGAACAATTATTCAAGATTTAGATCTAAAACAACGTGAATGTTTGAAAGAATTTCATGAAACTATTCGTTATTTTGGTGATGATGATAAATCGATAAATTCAACTTATTTCTTTGCAGTATTTGCAAATTTGATACGTTCGTTCACCGTTAGGAAATAGTGAGAAATATTTTTCAGTTTGTCCTTCGATGGTATTTTCTTATATTCTACCGTGAAAGAGCGAAACATTGAGTTGAACACGCAACAATGACCACACATTCACTGAGAAAAGCAAACAGTCTTCAATGATGACGATGAAAAAATTGGAAGGGACACAACAGTATCCTTCCCAATAAACTGATTAGCCATATCAGAAATTAGACATCCAGAGACTAGCATATTGATTTATATCGAATATTAAACAGAGTGCTATTAATACTTTTTAACTGTCTATTTTCTCCAATAAATGCGACAGAATTCTATAATTAAACATATTTATCAACCGAGAAGCCCATTTAGCCATATCAATTAGTATTCCTGTGAGCGCATGCAACTACACGGACGGATATGTCTAAACGTCCACTGCTCCTCATAGCATACACCGTAAGAGGAGAGTGGGAGGTGGAGGCGAAGCATGAGGGTGAGTAACCAGTACAACGTTTCGAACTTGAATAGTCTACGTACTTTTCTACATTCAATTCC